ACCATCTGAGCCACACCTCACCAGTAGCCTGCACAGTGTTGGGATAGACAGTGAGACTGCTGTATGTCATCACAGATGAACATGACCCCGTCCTCATCCTGATACCCTGTCAATGGGACACTGGATACTGATCGGGAAATGGGAATTGTAGCTGCTCTTCGTCTCTGGGAGTTGAGGTCCATAGTTGTGTCCCCAACTACAACCCTGGCTGAGATCAGGAAACCCTGTGCACACTGCAGAGGCATCCTGGTCTGAATCACTGCTGTACAGTTTAACTACTGAACGAATAGATGAGCTAACTAGCTAAACTAGCACTAGTCACCTGGCTCAGTGAATGCAGACATGCACAAGGAAGGCACCGATATACAAACACAGACAGGAACGCTGCACAACAATCCCATGCATCAACAACAGCATGTATCCAAATCTTATCTCAGTAAGGGAATTCGTTGCTGTCTGTTCCTTGTTTTGTGAATGAAATCTACCAAACAAGACAATTAGCCTCTGCTCCCAATTCCATCTACCATTCCTCATTCAAAGGTATGGTTCAAAGGTTTACATGACAAATGGACTATTCCCCAAGGGTCTTGTTGGATTAACCGACTTGCATCCAAGATGACGATGAAACAGTTTCACATCCCCCCCACCAAAAGGATTAACCCATCCTTTCCCTCGACTTCCGGGGAGACTCTTTCAATTGGGAAGGTTATGTTTTAATGCCAGTCAAGTCTGAATCTCCGATCACTTGGAGGACAGACGTTCAGATCTCCCAGGGAAAGAGTTAACCTGACTGGCATTGTATCCTCCAGTGCACATGGCTAAATATGCTCAGGAATTTCTCCTTGGGCTGTGATGCCAACAATTCAGTGGGGCCTATGGATCCTGCTCTGCTTCACAGTCTCCCACTCCACCATAACAGCCAGCTCTTGCCATCTAACCTTCTCTTTGGTTCATACACCTTCTCTGCTCTGACCATTAACCAGATGGACACTCCCTCCTCTCTTCCCTCTCATTCCCTCTGTCCCTCCTACTCCCGCAGTCCATAAATGGGACAAATAGACCACACAGAAAACAAAACATTGTAAATGGTTATATGAAGGATGGGGTAGTGAAGAAAGCCTTCATTCCAGCTCATGTGCTGAAAGCCTCTACCTTTGCTGCCCATCTTTGGCCATTTAACCTCCACAAAGCTCCTCTGTGATGACCCCAGAGTGAAGGCTCTTTATGTGCCAGATTCCTTTTGATAGACTTGATTCACAGGTTGGTATAATATTTTCACTCCTTCTCTATACAGTCAGTAAGTTTTGAAACCATCTATTATCCCTCGAACAAGTCCCCAGCGAGTTTCTGAGGGTTAGATCGGTTCACACAAATATGTTCATCTTATTTTAAGAAACTGTATTTTAATTTTAGCTCTGTGTCATTGCCAATCATAACATTGGTTTCAGAGATTAAAGATCTTAGACAGTGAGTGCTTGTGTGGCAGAGGCCCAAGGGCTTCTATGATTCTATGACGGGCCCGGGTTCAGATTTTTTTAGCAGACAGTCAATGACTGGGGCCTAGGTCAAGATTTTTTTTAGCAGAAGTTCAAGGACTGGGGCCTAGGTTCAAATTTTTCAGAACAGGGTCAAGGACTGGGGCCTAGTTTCAAATTTTTCAGAACAGGGTCAAGGACAGGGGCCTAGGTTCAAATTTTTCAGAACAGGGACAAGGACTGGGGTCTAGGTTCAGATTTTTCAGAACAGGGACAAGGACAGGGGCCTAGGTTCAGATTGTTTTAGCAGAGGGTCAAGGACTGGGGCCTAGGTTCAGATTTTTTTAGCAGAGGGACAAGGACTGGGGCCTAGGTTCAGATTTTTTTAACAGAGGGACAAGGACTGGGGCCTAGGTTCAAATTTTGATGGCAAAAGCTCTTCATGATGAGCTTCAACATATAACTGGAGTCTCATCAGTTCTGGATCTGAGGTTTACCACCTGGTTTAGGGCTGATAAAGAAATACCTAACTCAAAGTGGTGGGATGGAGAGGAAGATGGGCCTTCATAAAACATTTTGTAGTAATCAGGGCTTTAGTTTTTTATAAAGTAACAGTTGACTGAGCTTACAGGTCCAATGAATAGGACCAATAGGAAGCATCTACATGTTCGAAAATTGCAGTCAATAATCTATCAAAATTATCTTACAGAAAATTCAGCAATTTTAGCAGGTGTGATTCCAGTAACAGTACTCAAGTGACAGGGAGTAACACACCAACAGTTGACTCCTTTCCTCATAAAGCCACTTTAACTTCGTCTCAATCATTTTGACCAGATTTCGTGGTGCCCATTCACTGGAAACTCTGCGATAAAACTGGGCCATGATCCAACAGAAATCTTTATCGCTGTTTCCCATGGCAACAGTTTCGTTAGGATGAGGCGAGTGGAAGAAGAGGTGTTGGTCCTGGCCTAGTTTGGCCACTTTTATGATGGAAGATGGGCAGAAGCAACACAGATTAGGCTCAGAGAGTATTCTTGCCTTGCATGGGGGTTTCCACAGAGTCTTCCAAAGGGAAGGGGTCTTGAGACATTCAAAAATGGTCAATGCTTTAGGAGTCAGGAGTGTTGGCTGGAGCTGGAAGTCCTGGCCCAGGAGACACAGCATTCAAAGCCTGGCAGTAAAGTGGGAGCCTGTGATGCCCAGTTAGGACCATCTAAACAGTTAAAATGAAGCCCAGTTTGACGTTGCAGGCCTGGACTGAAGCTTCATCACTTCCAAATGATTCAATATTTTTAAAAGGTCATTCTGGAATCTTCCAAGGATGGCCAATTGGCATCAAAGTTTTATTTCGATTGTTGCTAGAATGACCAGCAACTGTTTTGCCCTCAGAAAGGGGCTGGGTTTTTGTTAGGAGTCTCCAGGAAGACAAGGAGAAGGGATCTAGAAGGGGTCCTGAATGGATTATGAGGTAACCTCTCTTTCCTTGACCCCACAGGATTGGCAGTTGCCTGAGAGCATCCTGGCACTCACTGTGGGATGGGCTGTGGACTCCTCCAAGGGCCGAGGCTGCCATCAGAAACCAGTTGCTCAGCCAGACTGGCAGCAACTTCTCGAAAAGTAGCTTTAAATCCCCCAATGAAGGGGTGGGGGTGTCATCTAGCTGACCACTGACCACTAACCGTGTCAGAGTATGTGCATCCATGAAAATGGAAGTTCGTGTTTATCTGTGTGTGTGCGAATGTGGGTGTGCAATGTGCGGCTGTGTGGTTGTACTCATGCGTGAGAATGTATATGTGGGAACGCATACAAGTCTGTGTATATGTGTGTCAGCACATGTGTGTGTCTCTGCAAGTCCACATGAGAAATATATACGTGTGAAGGAGAATGTGTGTTTGTGTTTGAAATACAGAGAGAATGAGTGAGAGGGATGGAGTGTATGTGTGACTGTGTGTGAGAGAGAGTATATGTAGCGTGCGAGAGAGTATGTGTGAGAAAGTATGTGACAGAGTATGTGTGTGTGTAAGTGCATGTGACAGAGTATGTGAGAGAGAGTGTGTGTGAAAGTATGTGTGAGAGAGATAGTGTGTGAGTATGTGTCTGTGTGAAAGTGCGTGTGATAGAGTTTGTGTAAAACAGTGTGAGATTGTGTGTGTGAAGGTGTGCGTGAGACAGTGCATAACTGTGTGAAAGTGTGTGTGAGAGAGTGTGTGTTTGAGACAGTGTGTGTGACACAGAGAGAGAAGGTGAGCATGAGACAGAGTACGATAAAGAGTGTGTAAGACAGGGTTTTTGTGAGTGTGTGAGAAAGATGTCATGAGTGTGAAAGAGACAGTGTGTGTGAGAGAGAGTGTGACAGAGAGAATGTGTGTAACAGAGTGCACATGTGGGAGAGTGTTAGAGAGGAAGTGTGTGTGCATATGTGTGGGAGGGGTGTAGATGGTGAGAGAGTAGGTATGCTGTGTTCACTGTCTGTTTGAAAGGATGGGTTTAACCAGCCTGCATCCACGGTCAGAGAGTTTGCAGGAATTCACTTTCTAAATCCAAATATGATATGGATGAGGTGTTGAGGATTCCTGTGTGACTGTACCCTCAGCAAATGTCAGTGTCTTCAGGAGGAAACTGACTAAAGGAACAAAAGAGGCCAATATTCCCTACAATCCTCCAACAAATGAAGTGGAATCATGGTAATCAGTTTGTTTAAATTTAATTCTTTATGGGATGTGAGTGTTGCTGGCCAGTCCAGCATTTATTACCTAATACAGCGGTGAGCTGCTTTTTAAACAACAAGTCCACATGGTGCAGACACCCACAATGCCGTTAGGGAGTTGAGTTCCAGAATTTTGACCCAGTGACACTGAAGGAACAACAATAACTTTCCAAGTCAGGATGGTGAGTGGATTGGAGGGGAACTTGAAGGTGTTCCCATGTATCTGCTGCCCTTGTCCTTCTAGATGGAAGTGGTCGTGGGTTTGGAAGGTGCTGTCTGAGGAGCCTCGGTGAGTTTCTGCTGTTACTGTGCACTGGTCCTTGACCTTCCTTTTGATTGGACTGGAGTCACGTATAGGCCCAGACCGGGAAAGGTCAGCAGATATCCCTCTCCGGGCGGGATGGGGGCAAGTGGGTTTTAATTTTACTGGAGCCACATTCCAATTCCTAGATGTTTCTCACCGAGATCCATTTCAAATTGAGAAAGGTGAAACTTTGAATTTGCGCTCCTTGGTCTGTTCATCAGATGAACACAACCACTAACCCTTCAGAACACTTCTTCTCTGGGAGACAGATCGGAATCAATAAGGCCCCCCCACCTCACCTTGATCCCACCCCCTCCACCTCTCAATCTCCCCACTCCCTCACCCACTGCGTGTCATCTCAAGGACCTCACGGAGGTTAACCCAAAGGATCCCGAGTGCAAACCCCCCACCGCACCCCCCCCACCCCCGCCCACATCCCACCCTCCGATCTGTATTCAGATTATGGACCTTGCTGAATCCCTTTTCCATTGGGCTTGGGGGCATCATGTGGTACCTTTGCGGATACTTCCGTCGGGAGAATGTTCAAAGTCCCCGGTGGTCAGCAGGAAGCAGGCTCTGTCCCGGGCATATTTCTCCCTCCCTCCAGGTGTCACAGGCTGGTTCTCCTCCGGTGACAGGGCCTGGTCAATGGTCGGACAATCCTCATTGGCCAAAGCAGCATTAGCAGCGTCCCCATTTTGCTTTGGATCTTCCGTGCCAATAAAATAAAAAGAAACACACACACACACACACACACACACACACACACACACACACATACACAGAAGCATTACTCATTGGATAAGCCGAGAATTCCCTTAAGACATGGCACTGAATAGACCATGGCTGAACAGAGATCCCTATCTACACAGCAACTTACTAACCCACAGGATGTGGGGGTCGCTGGTGAGGCCAGCATTTGCTGCCCGCCCCTAGTTGCCCTTGAACTGATTAGGGCAATCAAGAAGGGCATTTAAGATTCAACCACCTTGAAGTCACACATAGGCCAGACCAGATAAAGTCGGCAGATTTCCTTCCCCGAAGCATGTCAGTGAACCAGATGAATTTCTCCGACTGTCAACGGAGGGTGCATGCTCTAGCTTTCAATCTCACATCTCATGAATTGAATACTCCACTGACTGCCGTGTTGGGAATTGAACCCGCGAGCCCAAATTCTTTGGAATTCTCTCCCTGCAAAGGTGGTGGAAGCCAATTCCATAAATAATTTTGAAAGCAAGGTGGTTCGGTACCTGAGCAAGGGAGAATTCCTGAGTTACAGGCCCAAAGTTCAGGTGTGGAACTTTTAAGCACCAGCTGCTCTTCCAAAGAGCCAGCACAGCACAATGGGCTAAATGGCCTTGTTCTTGCTGTAAATACCTTTGAACAAATTCTTTTTAATATATCGAGAGCTGTCCTGATTGAGCCCTTTAATAGTAGAGTCAGAAATCACATGACACCAGGTTATAATCCATAAGGTTTATTTAAAATCACAAGCTTTTGGAATACTGCTCCTTTGTCAGGTGAAGTGAAAAATTCTCCGTAAACATGTGATTTTAAATAAACCTGTCGGTCAATAACCTGGTATCATATGACTTCTGATTTTGTCCACCCCAGTCCAAAAACAGCATCTTCACATCATCTTTAATATTAGAAATGAGCTGGACTAGTTGGTTGCGGAAAGAAAATTTCCAGTTTTTGGCGAATCTAAAACCAGGAACCAAGATATTTACTTATAAAACCAACAGGATCAATTAATTTAGAAAGAGCGATCCCATATTTTTAAGCAATTTTGTACTTAGTCCACTGCATAACACTTTGTCCAGCCCATGCATACCATTGTGTACAACACTTACTTACAGAAAGGGACTATATAGGACACTGTGAAACACATTTTGCAGTCTATACACTTCCCTGTGGAACAGAATTTTCCAGTACATTTCCCTCCAATGTACAATAGTTTAGTTAAAGAAATGCTGCAAACAGTCATGCAACATCTGTGGGAGAGACGGAGTTAACATTTCAGTTTGATGACCTTTCAGCAGAATGAGAAAAGGATAAGACGTTTTTTTTCATTCATTTGATGTGGGCATCACTGGCAAGGCCAGAATTCATTACCTATCCCTAAATGCCCTTGATCTTAGCAGCTTGCAACGGCAGTTAAGAGTCAACATATTGGAGTCACATGTAGGCCAGACCAGGTAAGGATGGCAGATTTCATTGAATCCCTACAGTATGGAAACAGGCCATTTGGCCCATCCAGTCCCCACCACCCCTCTGAAGAGCATCCCACCCAGGCCCACTCCCTTACCCTTTAGCCCTCCATTTCCCATGGCTAATCCACCCTACCCTGCACATCTTTGGACTGTGGGAGGAAACTGGAGCACCCGTGCAGACACAGGGAGAATGTGCAAACTCCACACAGACAGTCGCCCGAGGGTGGAATCAAACCTGGATCCCTGATGCTAGGAGGCAGCAGTGCTAACCACTGAGCCACTGTGATTCCTGCTTTATTTCCTTTCCTAAACTGAATCACTACAAATATGAAACTGTACACTTCGAAGTGAAAAAAAAAGGCAGATCATTATTGAAAAGGTGACGTATTGGGAAGTATGGACACACAAAGGGATCTGAGTGTCCTTGTGCATCAGTCAATGAAGGTAGCTGCAGAAAGCAATTAGGAAGTCATATGGAATATTGACCTTCATTGTGAGAGGATTTGAGTTCGTAAATAGCGATATCTCACTGCAGTTATACAGGGCCTTAGTGATATCACACCCGGAGCATTGCATGCAGTTTTGGTCTCCCTACCTAAGAAAGAATATACTCTCCTCAGAGGGAGTGCTGTGGAGGTTCACTAGGATGATACCGGGATGGCAGGACTATAGTATGAGGAGAGATTGGTTCGACTTAGCCTGTGTTCACTAGAGTTTAGAAGGATGAAGGGCGAGATCTGATTGAAACGTATAAAATTTGAACAGAGCTGGACAGACTAGATGCAGGGAGGATGTTTCCCCCTGGTTGGGAGAGTCTAAAACAAGAGGACACAACCTCAAGATATGGGCTGGACCATTTAGGACTGAGATGAGGAAACATGTTCTCACGCAGAGGGTGAGCAACCTGTAGAATTCACTACCACAGAGGCCAGGTCACTGAGTATATTCAAGCAAGACATTGATATATTTTTAGATATTAAAGACATTGAAGGGTATGGACAGAAGGCAAGAATATGGCAGTGAGGTAGGGAATCAGCCATGATCGCTCTGAATGTGGAGCAGGCCTGAAGGGCTGAATGGCCTACTCCTGCTCCTAGTTTCTATGAATCAGATGGATGATGCACCATTATCCCAATTCCAGATTTATTCAATGAATGGAATTCATTTTCTGCAGTTACCTTGGTAGGATTTGAGAGTGCTTCTAGGGATCATCAGTCCAGGCTGATTGGATAACCAGTCCCATATGTAAACCACTGTGAATGAATCATCTATCACACTGTCTATTTAATCCTTTCAGTTCCCCATATAACACAGTGCCCAGTCTATACAAATACCTGTGCAACGCACTGCTCAGTACATACACCTCCCTGCTGTGTAGCACACTATCAGTAAAATTTACTATCCAGTAAATACTGACCCTTTGTAACAATCTATCCACTTTGTACAGACCCCTCTGTAATGCGCTGACCAGTTCAATGTAGCAACTTAGGAAGAGGAGGATATCCCATTGATTCAGTTCCACCAGTAAATGCAATCATGAATGACAGAAGATCTCAATATTTAGAGGCAGAATTAGGCCATTTGGCCCATGAACAATGCTCACCATTCGATCACGACTGATATGTTTCTCAAACCCCATTCTCCTACCTTCTCCCCATAACCTTTGATCCCCTGACTAATCAAGAACCTAGCCATCTCTGTCTTGAATACAGTCAATGACTTGGCCTCCACAGTCCTCTGCGGTAATGAGTTCCATGGATTCAACTCCCTCTGACTGAAGAAATTCTTCCTCATTTTTGCCTGTCAGTTATGACCTTTAACAAAAAAATGATCAATATCAGTCCAAAGGTGTGCAGGTTAGGGGTGCAGGGCCATGCTAAATTTCCCACAGTGTCCAGGGATTAGCCATGGGAAACGCAGGGTTACAGTGATAGGGTGGGATGCTCTTTGGAAGGTCAGTGTAGACCCGATGGGCCGAACGGCCTGCTTCAACACTGTAGGGATTCTATGATTCTATCTATGGTCAGGTTTAAAATGAAGTGGCGGCAATATCCACATTGGAAGAAGGAGTTCCACATTGCTACTAGCTCATGTAAGTGAGACTCTTCTCCAATTCCATTCTTGAAAAGTCTTTAATTTGCAAACTACACCCACTAATCCCTAACCAGCAGAGGTAGTTTCTCTCTATCTATTCTATCTTTTCCCCTTAATGTCTTGAAAATTTGGATCAAATCATTCCCTTAACATTCTACATCTCAGAGAGTTACACCCTATCTGTGTATCCTTGTAACTGAGTCCAGACATCATTCTGAGAAACCAGCACCACACTGTCTGCAAGGCAAATCTATCTGTTCTTTTGTCCATGGATATTGGTATCACTGACTAAGCCAGCGATTCTTACCCATCCCCAATCACCCATAAGAGTTGACCACATTGCTGTAGGTCTGGAGTCACCTGTAGGCCAGACCAGATAACAATGGCAGATTTCCTTCCCTAAAGGACATTAGTGAGCCAGATGGTCTTTTACGACAATGGTTGTTCTGGATTTTCTTTTTTAATTTAACATTTGCCATCTGTCGTGAGGGATTCAAACCCATGCCCCCAGCACATTGGCCTAGAGTTCTGGATTACTAGTCCAGTGACATTATCTTCTTCAATTCATTCATGCGATGCAGAATTTTATGAAGAGAGGTTGGTGATTCGGGCTTGTTCTCATTGGTTTTAGGAATACAAGAGGCAACCTTATTGAAACATACAATATTGTCAGGGGGCTTGACCCGTGTCTATGGAGAGAGATCGTTTCCCCTTGTGAGAGAGTCTCGGACTGGAGGGGATCATCTCAGTGTAAGGGATGGTCCAGTTAGGAAGGAGATGAGGAGAACATTTTCTCGAAAAGTCAATCTGTGGAATTCTTTTCCACAGATGGTCAGTTGAGGCTCAGCCATGAAGATTATTCAAGACTGAGATAGACAGATTTTTAAATCAGTCAGAGAAATGATCAGTTCTGGGGAAAAGGCAGGAAAGTGGAGTTGAGGGTCATCAGTCATGATCTTATTGAATGGCAGAGCAGAGTTGATGGGCTGAATGGTCTCCTGCTGCTCCTATGTCTTGTAATGTTAGCTTTGGATGAACTTTTGCTTAATAAACTGTCACCTAAACTACACTGAACATCTGGATTCAGGTGGGGAATACACTTAACCCAAAGAGACAGTCAAGAGTCAACCAGCCTACAAATTCCGTTATTTTTATGAATTTATTCTTTCTTTCTTTCATGGGATATGGGTGTCATCATTTGTTGCCCAGCCCTAACTGCCCTGGAATTGAGTGGCTTGCAAGGGTAATTAGGAGTGATACTTTGAGACACATGTAGGCCAGAGATAGTAAGGATGGGTCATCAATCTTTCAATTCCAAATTTATTCATGAATTGAATTTAAATTTCACCATCTGCTGATTTGAGCCTGTGTCCCCAGAGCATTAATCGGGACCCTCTGGGGTGACAGGGCTAGCGGCACTTCCTCCTTTCTTTTTAATTTTCATTCATGGGATGAGGGTGCCACAGGCTGGGTCAGCATTTATTGCCCATCCCTATTTAAGAGTCAGCCACATTGCTGTGGGTCTGGAGAGACATGTAGAACAGACCAGGTAAGAATGGCAGTTTCCTTCCCTAAAGGACATTAGCGAACCAGATGGGTTCTTCCAAGAATCAATAACAGATTCCTGGTCCTCATTAGACAATTGATTCCAGATATTTTTGAATTGAATTCAAATTCTACCATTTGCTGTGGCAGGAAATGAACTCAGGTCCCTGGAACATTAGAACTGCCCCTTGGGAAGGTGGGCTTGAGCTGCCTTCCTGAACCACTGCAGTCCTTTGGAGTATAGAAAGACCCACAATGACCTCAGGGAAGGATATTCCAGCATTATGATCCAGCAACACTGAAGGAACAACAACATATTTCCCAGTAAGGACGGTGAGTGATTCTTCATAGAATCCCTACAGTGTGGAAGCAGGCCATTCAGCCTGAAGAGCATCCTTGACCCTCTGAAGAGCATCCCAACCCATCCCTGCAACCCCGCATTTCCCAGCCTACACAACCCTGGACACAATGGACAGTTTAGCACAGCCAATCCATCTAACCTTTGGACTGTGGGAGGAAACCGGAGCACCCGGAGGAAACCCACGCAGACGCAGGGAGAATGTGCAAACTCCACACAGACAGTTGCCCGAGGGTGGAATCGAACCTGGATCCCTGGTGCTGTGAGGCAGCAGCGCTAACCACTGAGACACCGTGCCACCCATAATTAATGTTCCCTGACTGGGAATCAAACCCAGGCTGCAGTGATGAGAGCCCAAATCCTAACCACTGGATCAAGAGGGACCCATTGGCTGGGTCTCTGAATTATCAGTCCAGTGATAATGTCACCAGGTCATCACCTCCTGAAAGCTGAGTGTCTAGGTTTGAGCCTAAGGCTCTTAGCCACAGAGCAATGCCTACCTGCCCTGTTTATTTCAATGATCTCCTCCTGAGCTAGAGGGCAGGAATCACCCTGGACACTCCGCTGGGGGGACTTGATATCAGGCTTGCAGTAGTTGGGAGACCCTGGCTGAGGAGCTCGGGGGATGTGTTTGTTCTTCTTCTTTGGTAACTTCTGCTTGGCCATAGCCAAAGAATAGTACATGCCAAAGTTATTGACAATAACGGGGACAGGCATAGCGATGGTCAACACACCAGCCAAAGCACAGAGAGCTCCCACCAACATCCCCGACCAGGTCTCCGGATACATATCCCCGTAACCCAGGGTGGTCATGGTAACCACTGCCCACCAGAAGCCGATGGGGATGTTCTTGAAGCTGGTGTGTCTGCTACCCGTTATGTCTTCGGGGTCAGCCCCTATCCTCTCCGCGTAATAGATCATGGTGGCAAAGATCAGGACCCCGAGAGCGAGGAAGATGATGAGCAGGAGGAACTCATTTGTGCTCGCCCTCAGCGTGTGGCCCAGGACCCTCAGGCCAATGAAGTGGCGGGTAAGCTTGAAGATGCGGAGGATTCGGACAAAGCGCACGACGCGCAGGAAGCCCAGGACATCCTTGGCGGCCTTGGACGAGAGTCCGCTCAGGCCAACCTCCAGGTAGAAAGGAAGGATGGCCACAAAGTCAATGATGTTGAGGGTGTTCTTGATGAACTCCTTCTTGTCCGGGCAGAACATGATGCGCATCAGGAACTCGAAGGTGAACCAGATGACGCACATGCCCTCCACGTAGGTGAGGAAGGCCTCGGTCTCAATCTCCACATCCTCCACCACATTGGTAACATTCCCAGTGGTGACCGTCTCCGTTCTGTTCACCAGGTGGTTGAACGCTTCGTGGGTCTCAAGGCAAAAAGTAGTGATGGATATCAAAATGAAGAACAATGATGCAAACGCCACGTACTGCGAGAAAAGAAAACAAAAGAAAGAAAGACACAGGCGTGTTAAATAAAACACAGAACTAACAGCACCCACATATCACCATGGTAACACTTAGATGTGTGTAGGTAACATTAAGGATTCCCGCTACAGGATGAATTCTAGACTGATGGTGATACTCAGGTTATCTGAGATTCAGATGCCTAGCCCGAACCTTATCACCACTGCTCAGATCAGCTTCGTATCAGCTCTTCAAAAGAGGCATCTAAGGCATTCCCTAATCCTCTCCCCACAGCCCTGAAAATCTCTCCTTTTTAACTATACATTTCATTCTCCTTCAAAAGCAATTGACTCAACATCCAACAAACTTCCAGGCAGGTTATTCTAAGTCATCGCGTCTCAATTTATGGTGAAAATGTCCCTTCCTCCACCAATTATCTCAAACCTTTATAACTTCCAGGCAGTAGAAATCGTTCCAATATGTTTACTGCATTAAAACCAACATCAAAAACCTCCCCCACCCTAGTAATACACTTTTCCAACCTCTTCTGTCAGGCAGAAGGTACAGGTTCAAGAACAGCTACTTCCTGGCTATTATTAGACTGCTGAATGGACCTATCTAATTTCAAATTGAATGTTGATCTCACTTTGGTACACCTCCTATATGCCTCGCTCTATTGAAAATATGATCTGTATGTCCTTGTATGTTATGATCTGCTTGTACTGCTCGCAAAACAGAACTTTTCACTGCGCCCAGGTAAATGTGACACAATAAATCAAATCAGATCAGCATAATTCTGAACTTCTAACAAACTTCTCCTTAACCTTCAGAATGTTCTTGAGAAGGGTCAGCGGTCCCGAAATGTTTCTCACTTCACAGAAGCTGTGTTTTCTCAGCAATTTCTGTTTTTGATTGATAGAGTCATACAGCAGTGAAACAGACCCTTTGGTACAACCAGTCCGTGCTGAACATATTCACAAACTAAATCAGTCCCACTGCCTCACGCAGCCCATATCCTATTAATGAACTTACCCAAGTGTCTTTTAAACATTGCTAACTGCTCCCACATCCACCACTTCCTCTGGAAGTTCATTCCACACGCGAACCATCCTCTGTAAAAAAATTGGCCCCCATGCCTTTATTAAATCTCTCTCCTCTCACCTTAAAAATGTGCCCCCTAATCGTGAAATACACCATCCTCGGGCAAAGACACCTATTATTAACCCTATCTATACCCCTCATGATTTCATAAACCTCTATAAAGTCATGTCTTAAATAAGGCAACCAAGTAAGGTGTAAGAGGTAAGAACTGCCAATGCTGGAGTCAGAGATAACACACTGTGGAGCTGGAGGAACACAGCAGGCCAGGCAGCATCAGAGGAGCAGGA